AGCAGGAACTTTGATCAAGCAAGGAACAGCTGTACCTCATCAGTGAACTACAGCCACCCTGAGGAGGAGTGTGGGAGCTGTTTAAGGGGGCTACATGACTGTTCAAGATTGGAAGTGAGACAGAACATTGATGAAGGGAGAGGAAGATTTGTGAGGGGAGGTCACATCTTTTTGCAGTCTCTCCTACCTCTCCTAGCAACTGGTCCATAAAAGGCTATGACCTCACCTCACCTCACCTCTCTCCATTCTCTAACTGGATTGCCACGTGTGCCCCCTACACATCGCCAATGCTTCATTGCATAGGCCTGAACACCCCTCTCTCCTTTCTAACGGCCTTGATGTTCCACTAATCGATCTATTTTTTCTTCTGCCACCCTGCTGTCCCTCAGCTGCTGCCTCACTGCCCTACAGACTCTGTTTAACTCATTAAAATCAGTAACACAGGGATGGAAATAATTTGGGAAATGATTGGAAATGAGCTGCCTCACTTCCCAGAGCCTGATGAAAGGCCTTTGAGCCTGAAGACTTGCAGAAAAGGATATTTTTTTGCCATTGCCCAGTTGGTCTAATGAAAGGTCCCATTTCAGAACCGGGAGTTCTCGATTTGTGCATTTCGTACATCCTGAGCACTGTTACTCCGGGTTCGAATCACACTTTGCCTCTTGCCGGGGGTCTGCAAAGAAAATTAGGTAGCCCATTAGATAGATGCCCATATAAAATCAGAGACCCCCCCCACCCCTCCAGGTAATTTCCTTTTAAACCTTACAGGGGGGCTTTGGTTTCTTGTGGGAGGCTCATCCCTTTCTTTTACAGTTAGGGATCCTACATCCTAGAAGGGGTGAAGGGAAGGTCGGAAGGCGACCGTGGCCGTCCACCTGGCAGCCTGGAGCCCCCCTCAGGCGCGGCGCGGCGCGGGGCGGGGCGAGGCGAGGGGAGGCTACCTGCCCCGCGGGAGGCGGAGCCGCGGGACAAAGTCAACTCAGGGAAGTTTGCGGGCGGGGAGCGGCTGGCGGGGCCGGGCCGGAGCATGGCTCTGAGCAAGGGGTTGCGGCTGCTGTGGAACTGGAGGCCGGCACGCTGGCCGCGCTGGGTGAGGCGCCGGGCGCGGGCCCCCTGAGGCGAGGGCGGGAGGACGGGGAAAGAGAGAGCGGGTGCAGCCCGCCGCCAGTGGGGCTGGGAGCGGAAAGCGGAGCAGCAGAGCAGGCAGGGAGAATGGGTGGGGAGCAGGGGAGGACACCGGCCAGGGAGTGCGGGGGCGGGGGCGGAGCAGCAGGTAGGGTAGGAAGAAGAAAGCGGAGCAGCAGAGCAAGCAAGGAGAATAGTGGTGGGAGCAGAGCAGCAAACAGGGTGGGGAGCGGAAAGCAGAGGAGCAGATGGGTCAGGGAGAAGAGGGGTGGGAGCAAAGCAGCAGATGGGGAGGGGAGTAGAGAGCAGAGCAGGAGACCAGGCGGGGAGAACAGGGATGAGAGCAGAGCAGCAGATGGGGAGGGGAGCAGAAAGCAGCGGAGCAGACTGGCCAGGGAGAACAGGCCCGAGAGCAGAAAGCAAAGGTGCAGACTGGCCAGGGATCGCTGGGGTTGGGGCAAAGCAGCAGATAGGGCAGGGAGTAGAGAGCAGAGCAGCAGACCAAGCAGGGAGAAGAGGGGTGGGAGCAGAGCAGCAGGTAGGGCAGGGAGCAGAAGGCAGAACAGCAGATCAGGAGGGAGCACAGAGGTGGGAGTAAAAAGCTGAGCAGCAGATCATGCAGGGAGCACAGGCATAGAAGCAGAGAGCAAAGCAACAGATTGGACAGGGAGTACAGGGCTGGGGAACAGAAAGAGCAGGGCAGGGAGCTGGAAGCAAAGCAGGAGGTCGGGTAGAGAGCAGAGTAGCAGGTCAGGCAGGGAAGTGGATCAGAACGGAGCTCAAGGAGGGTGCAGGGCCTGTTTGTGGCACACCTGCTAGAAAAGACTGCCCAAAGCAGTGGTTGCCCTGGGGCTTGGTAGAAAATCCCTCATGGTAGGACGGCACTGCTGCACCTGTGCTTGACTTCTTCATTTCTGTGGCTTTCTCTCCTCGATTGTGGCTGCAGCCTCAGCCAGGAGTGGGAGAGCTGTTGTGAGGCCTACCTGCAGATGGACAATCTTGCCTTCTGTGCAGGGCTACCGCTGCTGGGAGATTTCAAGGGGAAGAAAAAAATAAAAAATATTTTCCAAAATAAAGGGCCTGAGTCCTGGTGTACACTGGGGAGGTAGGCTTTATGAAGCTGTATGTGGAGATGCTCCAGTACCAGCTGAAAGCAGAGTTTACTTAGCCTGGTGGGATTTGTTTTGGTACAGTACATTGACAAACAAATAGCGGTGTATCTCTAGTTGCATCATATGTTGTTGCAACAGTGTGAGTCTGCTTGATGTGGACAGGCCCTCAATCTCATCTAGAGGTAGAGCAGCAATGAACATATCTGTACTTAAGTTCTATGTATGTTAAATGTCAAAGCTTACATTAAAGCCTACATTAAGGGTGAAAACTGGTCACAAAAAAATCATTAAACACTTGGAGAGTTAAGTTGCGTTACTAACTTTAACATAGCCTTGATGCACAAATGTTGGATTTTGTTTACTATCTTGGTTATTACACTGTTACTAGTAGTTAGACTTTTAAGTGTGTAAGAGTTGTTTAGTCTGTCCATGCCAGGAATATAGGCATATTTGGAGTCCACTGTCTTCAATGTGATTCCGCCTGGGCATTGCAAGCAGTCTGCAGATTCAGAGCAGCTCAGAGGAAGGGGACCTTAAATTTTAAAATCTTTAGAGTAAGAACTGTGTGTATTTTGTGCCTTCTGCAGCCTCAGTGGCATTTTCAGCATTTGAAAAATAATAGCCTGATTTTACTGTCGTATTAATTCTTCAGTCTAAGAGGATTGGTAATGCTGATTACCCATGAATAACTGATTATCAGCAGTTATCCACTTATGCTTTTCATGACATGTATTTTTCATGTCATATAGACAGCCAGTAAAGGATGATCTTCAATATTTATAATGAAGAATATATGTATGTGTATGTATTATATGTATATGTATATATGTGCATACTGTATACATTATATATTATATATGTAATATACACTCAGATTGTTATTTATATCCTGAATCCAAATTGTTGGCACTCTGGCTTGTTACTAGACAATTCTGTGTTTGTACAAAAAATGCTTAATGTATAAAATCTTACTACAAAAATTCAGTGCGCTTGCTATATACGAATTATGTGATTATGAACAAAAATAATAAAAGATTTTTGCTTTGCACACTTATACCTGCTCATTGCCAAAATAGAAGAGACTAGTGCAAAACTGGAAAGTTGATCCTCTCTGTCTCTTGTTGAGATGAGGAAAACTGAAGTGTCAGATGCTTTTATGAGCATCAGCTGGTTTGAGAGGTCATGTGACAAGCACCTTTTCAGCTAATTATCAGGAACAATTTCCATTATGATTTAGTTGCATGTACATTTGGAAATCCCTGTGTTTTTAAATGATGAATTAGCGAAAGTGTTGTGCCAAATCGAAGGGGCTATAGCAGCGCTTCTTACTAATAGGACTGTAGTGATAGATTTCACTGTACATATAAGCAACCACACTGTGTCTGGAGTGTGACTAAGTTTATGTTGCAACCATTAAGAGTTTTAACATTATATGTAACAAACAGAGCTGATTGAGAAAAGAAAAAAAATCTTTTGAAAATTTTAATTTTTTTAGTTGTATAATGTTTCAGAAGAAAATGAAAAATATTTAGATTTTGAAATACTGCTGAAGTCCCTTCTGATAGTTGTAGTTTGACTTAAAGTTATGCTCCCATTCTGCGTAGTAATGGTGAAGGGAATTCCCAGTTAGATTGTATCTCCCAAAATGTGCCAGGGTCTCCAGTGTTTTGATAGAGATGTGATGTATCTTGAGATGTGTCTTGGGAGATAAATTAAAATTGAAGTTAGGCTTACTAAGGAAAATAGGACATAAGGAGGAATCTGAATTTCAGTTTCTATCATACATTATGCCAGGACACCATAGTCGAAATATTTCATTTTTTGACTGGTTTTCCTCTTTTGATGAAAAATCTAAATCTTAGGCAGCAAGCAGACATCTCTCGTCGAAAAAAAAAACTTGTTTTGTTGGAAAGTTGCTGATCAGCCACACTCAGTTTTTATCGGCTTACTCTAGTATATATTGGAATATTTACGTCACAGGATTCTTCATCTTTACACAATCCATTTCTGGTGGAGTTCATTGGGAAACCTTGCTATATACCATCGGATGTCAATGTGCAGTAAAGGAATCTTTTTTTCTAGTGCTTATCTGCTTTCAATTAACTGATATTTCAGTGCAATGTATTAAAAATAGAAAAATAAATTCAAATTTGGGTATACTAAATATATTGCCCCATTTTCTTGTCTTAGGTCCTGATCCAAAGCCCACTGAAGTCTATAGAAAGTCTTCCATTGGCATTTATGGGTACTTGGTTTTGCTGGAGCATATCCAGAGCAACTTCATTGAAGTCCATGTACAATAGTGTAACTGAAAGCAAAATTTGACTGACTGACAATATCAAGTTATACATTGAATAGTCTGTGTAAGAAGTCATTGGAAAGGTTAATTTAAAGACATGCAAACTTAAAAACAACCTTCTTCCACAAAGCAACATTTGTTGTGGTTAGAAGCAACATTTGAAATTACTGTAATTGAAAATGATAAAATAAGAATGTGCTTTTTAATGTATATTTTCTGAATTTAGCAGTAACTTGTTGCAGCTGGCATTATTCTCTATTTCAGCATGTTCAAAACTTTGAAGAGCTGTATACCTTGCTTTAGGAAAACAAATTCACTCAGGCCCTGTCCTGCAATCTCACTATACTGATAGTTGTTCACATAAATACACCTTTTATTCCCCTCATTTATATTAGTTTTTCAGGTCTGGAGACTTTTGAGAGAGCCGGTTTACCCAGTAGAGCCAGTTTAATTAGTATCCCCTGTTATCTTTATGAGTGTTCTCACACAGGAAGAAAACCTTAACAATAGGCAATTGTGATAGTAAAAGCACAGGAATTGGCAGGGGATTCAGGGACAGATGTACTCCCTTTAACAATCTTCATTCATTAAAAAATTGACTACATGTCAACATAACTGTTCTGTTTGCTGATCTTTTTGTGGGGTTTCAATTTATAATCTTAAGGCTTTGTTAGTTTTGGTTTGGTTATTTAATTTTCCTACACGTAAAGGAAATTTTCAGAAAGCACTGTACACGTGGAACAAGGGTTCTGCAGTCTCACTTCATAGCTGCTTAAACACCCATTGATAACACACAGAGGAAAAACATACACCTGCAGCACTCCAGTTGTGTAACTCTTGTTGAGTAGTAGCTTATGTAAGTACATTTATAAGGAACTGTTTGCTAAAAATGGATAAAACAAATTTAAATCTCTCATTTTATTTACATCTTTTGTATAGTTTGTCCTCAAGGACCAGTCTCATGAGCCACACAATTTTTTTTGAGTTTGGTTGCTTCCATCTTCTTGATGCACAAAAAGAGGCCAAAAAATTATTTTTTTAAATGATAGAAGCATAAGCAGTTTCCCTTCCCTGCCATCCACCTCATGGAGAATGCAATTAGAGCAAACATGGGGAAAGGAGATTTTGCAAACAAGATTTTTAAAACAAGAAGTTTAAAAGCTGAAGTTGATCTACACCCACTTTTTCAGCCTGTAAATTTTTAACCACCACAGTACTTTACATTTTGTAAAAAACTGTATATAGTGTTGAAAACAAAGGTTTTATACTTTTTCCTTCAGACCTCTGAGGGATCAGATTTCAGTCCTCCTTTTTTCTTTCTGTAGTTCAAAAGTATTATATGTCATACAATAATTTTATCATATTTCTGCCTAAAAAGTACCTTAAGAAGGAGTTAATTTTGCCAGTACGTATTAGCAATAGGAAAGATAGTAGGGTTGCTGTAGTTTTCCAGGAAAGCAGCAAAAACACCAAAGAAAGTCAGGGTAAAGAGTAAATGTTGGGGGGGGGGATGGGAAAAACGGTTAACAATAGAAATTCAATTGGGATTGCTGA